TTATTACTAGCACTTTAAAAAGAGCATTACCTATAATCAATAAAAACTTTTGAATGTGTCAAAACTCTCAATGATCTGAATACCTAAATTCCAAGATTAAAGTTGGTAAATCCAAGATTAAAGTTGATAATTCCAAGATTAAAGTTGATAATTCCAAGATTAAAGTCGACAATTTGAAAAATAAAAATAAAAAAAGGATGGCCCTAATACGCTTCCGTATAAATTGGTTCTACTCTTGATACTAACCAATAAGTAATAATTCCCTTTTTGAAGATATGTATACTCACTGTAAAAAGAAATATTAAAGCAAGCGAACCGAGACAATAATTGGGCTGTGTTATAGTAGTCACAATCATATCATTTGGATTTACTATTATGGAATATTTTTTACATTTCAAGATTTTTCGTATTGGTATTGGTATCATGTGTAGAATACTGGCTATATGAAGAATTTTGCATCAAATGATCACGTGACATTATATTTTGTACACAAAGCAGAACCAACAGGACACGTTTCGGAACTTTGGAACTTCCCAAATCATGTGCAGTCCATTTTAATAATTTAATAATACAAAAATTAGAAAATAACTGTTTCTCCTTTCTTTTGTTGAAACAGAGGATATAAGAAAATGAATAGAAATTAATGGGGGGGGGGGGGCTACATTGTAAAAGTAAAAATACCACATGCATACTAGAGACAAGATCAAATGACCCCCCCCCCCCCTCCTTCCTTTTTTTTTTGATTATGTAAAAATTGTAAACTATTAAATCATTAAAATGACTGTTGGAACCATGCAATAGTGGTAGATGTGTCATAATAATAGTATGCATAACTCAAATTGAACAGTCTGACGTCATATTGGGTTATAGAATAAAGTTCCATGCAATTCTCTTTGTAAATTACAATCAAGCAACTTGATGATTTATAACTGTTGCATGCATTATCTATTTACAAAGAAAAAGCAGCTTCCATGTATATGAGCATCTAATTGAAGATGTTTTTCTTTTCTCTAATCTTAATCCAGTTCATGGATAGGACCTTACATCTTTGTAAAAAATTATTTGTAACAAATGAAATTAAAAGTTTCTAATTTAAGTATCAATTTATCAAAATTATCATTTCATATTTTATTTCTTAAACAAAATTTCATGAACATATTTACATTTGTTAATAGATACATAAAATACCGGTACCTTATCCCGGCCACGTTAACATTAGTATAGAGCTTATATTATGGTTAGTTGTGCTAGTTTATGATTTCATAAAACATTTTCATTTTCCGATTAGATCTGAACAAATAATGATACCAATTTCATTTTGAATTACTGTAGTATTGATCCTTTGTTATGACAATAACTGTATATAATGAAGGTGTATACATGTAGTCTTAGGATTTCAGTTATGTGTGCTATCTAAACTATATCCATGTCCTAAGTTAGGAGTTGTCGTATGTCATATCTGAATATTTTCCGTTAGTTAGATAATTTCGGGTAAATTAGTATTACACATATATTTATTACTTTCAATTAAGAGTGACACATTATATAAACAGCTGTCTATTATTAAAGAAAACATATTGCCCTCTATAGATATCTTAAGGTTATCCTATTTGATTCGTTGCTGTCGCATTGATGTATGCCCACATCTCCTTTTGTCCATATGAATATGAGGGAATACGGCAGCCTAGATCGAGTGGATGATCGTCTTTCACACTAAATATCAATGTCTATATAATTTGTTGTCTGATTTTCATTTATCATGTGTATGCATACACGTTCTATTATTATGTTTGGACTGGTATTGCGGAAATAATTGTATGAAGTTCAAGATTACATATTCGTTACATAAGTGCGTCACTGTTTGTAATGTCCTGTGCTGTCTGTCGTTGATGGAAGATGTTCGTTGTTGTTCTGCGGTTTGCATGTTGTGTCGACTATTATATTATTTGTTTGTGCGTTTCTCTGTGATGAGTGTTCTTGCGTGTGTTTGTGCTGTATTTCTGTCACGTAGTGTTGTCATTTTAGCGATATTTTTTAAAATTGCCATATAAGCGGGAGGTTTGGCTAGCCATAAAACACCAGGTCCAACCCACCATTTTTCTTAAAATGTCCTGTACCAAGGCAGAAATATGGCAGTTGTTATCAAATAGTTTCTATGTATGTTGGCGTTTGTTTTTGTTGCACTTCAGTGTTCTTGTTGTTCCTTTGTTTTCCTGTCACTGTTGATTTGTTTCCCTCGGTTTTAGTTTGTAACCCGGATTTGTTTTCTCTCAATCGATTTACGACTTTCGAACAGCAGTATACTACTGTTGCCTTTATTTAGATGATTCTTTGGGACAAAGTGCTAGTTGCTACTAAACCATCATGATTTGTTGCATCCACTTTCATATGTCAATGGGTGGCAAAATAGTAAAAAAAATTATAATTTAATGCCACGACAAATTAACGTTTGTAAAACCTTACCGAAAATTGTGGAGACTAAACATTTATATATTACCAAATGATATTATTCATATTATTCATAGTCCAATCTAGATGATTTAAGGATAAAAAATTGAAAACAACACGTTTAATTATTTCATGCGTCCGAAGCGCTTTTCTGGATTTACCTTCATCAGGAAAGCTCAATGCCAAACATTTGAAATCCGAGGGATGTATAAGTACCGAAACAGTTGAAGAGCTATATGACAAAAATACCTAAAACAATTAACCAAATTCTTCTAAGGTCAACTTTGCCTGAGGGAGTTGAAACCTTAGTTCCTTTATAATTTCAAAATTTATAAACGGACAATTTTAGAAAAGTTTGTTATAAATCATGTCAGTACCGAAATACTGACTACTGAGCTGATGATACCCTCAGTGACTGATAGTCCACCAGCAGAGGTATCGACCCAGTGATGTAAAAAATAAAGTATCGTGTAAACAAAAGTTGTCAAAACAGCCGTACAATACATAGAAAAGTATTTCTGTCGTGTCAGGGCAGACATAGGGTTTTTTCGTCAGGGCAAGATTTTATATCAGAAAATAATTGGAATTGCTACGGGAACTTATTGCGAAGATCTAATTTTTTCTGTAATGAATATTTTTACATTTTGTCAGGCCATAAACGAGCTTCCGCATATGATTAAAAATCTTGAGACCAAGACACTTATAAGATTATCTTAATTATGATAATAAGCCCTATCAACACAATCACATGGACTACTTATTTGTCATGTCCTACATTTCCGACCACACCCTCATCTAAGTTCAATATATAGGTTCTCAATTAATCATATCCTACATTTTTCACATTTTGTTGACTAAAGATTCACAACATTTGATAAAATAAATCAATAAAAAATTTGCTTGGAAAGTTCTATTAAAGAAAAAAGGAGATGAATTCGACTATTCATAATTTCGCATGAAAATAACAACATTTTCAAAAATACTATTATATGTTACCTCGATAGAACGACATGTTATCACGATAATAGGTGTGAACATATAAAACCTCTAAAGTGGAGGGGTCTTCTTCTGGGGGAATCTTTTTGATTAGAGAGATTAATCGTAGAACCTATTTTACGTAGTTGTTCATAATTTGGATTGCTTTTTAACACTTAAAATGTTAATGTTTAGAAAATTTCATTAACAACAACGTAGATATGAAAACAACATGTCATGTAGCTTGGCCACTTTGTATTTTGTAATATACCTAGGTTTGACAATAATTTGTCATTTTTATTGGAAAAAAAATGATAATAATGAAGTCATGGCGAAAGGGGTAAAATAAGGAGATTGTTTTATCTAAAGTGAAAGATTTCAACTCTCTATCAGGTATCAAGTCTTTAAAGAGATATTATTTTTTGGGTACAAATATACATATCTATATTTTAATTGCATATATCTAGAAAGTTGACTACTATGAGAAATTGTCACTCTTCACAATTCAACAGTCAAGAAAGTAGATCTAAGTGGTACATTCAGAAAGTTGTCGGTAGCTTCTAGATTGTCAATCTATTACTGTATGAATATCTGATAGAAAAGGAAACAAAGACGACAAACGAGAATATTTCACACACACACAAACACAACAACATCATTTCCAATAGAGAAGAAGATCTTACAAGAACAAAAAAAAATATGTAAGTTAATTTACAATCAGAGAATAATGAAAACATGAAACAATAGTAGAGAGAAGATTTCTATTAGGTCAAAAGTGGTTTACCTGTCGTAAGTTTCCCTATTATTTCATATAAAACACGTGTTTAATTTAAAGTCATTTGAAACGAGTTTTTTTTTCGAATTGTGATGCTTTCGAAGTTATTGAAACAATGATGCATATATACTATAACTAAGTCCTGTATGCACATTTATTTTTTTTATTTTTCTATCAACAGTAGTAGAACCTTAACTTAGTATTGTATTGTTAGTCTTATTACAATTTTCTTCTTTGATCATGTATATTCAAAACTGATTGGTAAGTGAAATATACATTAAAACGAAAACCACTAAAACCAACACCCGATTTCATATTTTATCAGTAATCTTAGTACATTTTCTACACTTTCCTACAGCAGTTACACTTTGTCTGTAAATATTGACCCTTGAAAATATGTCAGAAAGGAAATAACTGTTGTGAATCATAAAAATATACAGGTGACACACTTAATTGTAACAAAAGTGTCTTTTTTGACATATAGTCCCATATTATGAACTTTTGTTATTATTGTCGGAAAGATTATAACACGAAATGGACAACATCTGACATCAATTGAAGTGACGTGGTTATTGCTAACCAGAAATTGTACTAATGAGTTTGATTTATTTATCTTTTCTTCATATTAACCCTTATGGGATGCGTTTGTCCTTAGCCTTCCCAATTAATTTGTCTAGGGATTAGTTGACTAAGAATTACAATTGTGATCAGATGATGTAGCTCCATAAGTGTGTCAAGAGTTTTGTGGTTACTAATATGTATATAAAGTCACAAACATCATCTAAGGTCACTCCAGTTTTCTTTGGTCTTCAATACTAGTATATACGCTACAACATGAAAAACGTGTTTGTTCTTTTGGTGGCTGTCCTGGTAGCTACAGTCGCTGCTAAAAAGGGATGGAAACTTCGAGAGCGACAACGTAAGTCTAAAGTTGAACAAGCATTTTAATTAGTTTAGTTAGCATTAGATTTTCAACTACTTTAACAACCATTTTGATAAGTTTAACAAGTATTCAAATTACTATAAGTGGCATTTCTATTAGTTTAACAAGCATTTCAACTAGTTTAACAAGTATTCAAATTACTATAAATAGCATTTCTATAAGTTTAACAAGCATTTTAATTACCGAAATTACTACATTGTGCACAAGATGGTCAGTTCAGGCAAGACTGTCTTTCATTGCAATTTGTCAAATAATTTAATATCAAAACCAGCTGACCTTAAAAATATATAAAATAAAATACTATCAATAAAGAAAATATTCTGATTTGATTTTACAAATGAACAATTAAAATAACACACTTCATAAGTTTGGAGCGTCCGGGGCGCTTTTCAGTATTAACGCTTAATCCAAAGGCTTATAAAACACGAATACACGAGTATGACCAAAATGGGGAATACAAAAAATGGTTTATTGTATCTTAAGTCACCATTGTTGGAGGGATTTGGGATATTTGTTTCTTAATAGTTTCGAAATTTATTAACGGAAAATTTAAGAAAAGTAGGTTATACATTATGTCAGTACCGAAAAACTCCAATAAGAACTCATTTTAGGCCAAACAAAGAAGATATGTAGTTAAATGTATGTTTTATCCGTTTTTTTCCCCTGATATATTAAAGATCTTGTTTGAGTTATCATAAAGGTTAAACATTGAATATAATATGTGTCAAAATATTAGTAATTATTTACTTATAATTTTTATTTGAAACCTTAAAAATGAACAAAACAACTTTTCAGGATGCAAATATGATAAAAGTGCATGGAGTGACTGTGACACAGCAACAAATACCGTCAGCCGAGTTTTGACTCTAAAATCCGGCGAGGAAGGATGCCAAGAGACACAGAACCAAACTATAACATGTGATAGGTTTGAAAGACTACAAGCATGGAAAGTAAAAAAGGCGGAAAGTAGAAGAGAATGGCAGGAAAAGAAACAACAAAGAAAAGAACAAAAACAAGAGATGAAAGAGAATAAACAGCTTGTAAAAATGCAACTTAAAAGTAAGTAAATATATGGAAATATTATATTTTATCTTACACAAACAATATTGTTACTTATAGAAAAAATCTGGCGTTTCTGATGCAATTTATGGTCACTTAAAAAAATCGCTTCCTAATGAACTGAGCTTTTTTATTCATTTCGTTAAACGTAAGTATTATATAGACACATGTGGAATATATTTTTAAAATGTGTAATTAATAAAATTGACTACAATTTTCTTACGAGTCCTCTTATCTTTGAAAAATCTAATTTCTACTTGATTGAAGCTTTTTAGAAATATATAACTGTCTATCAAATAACATAAGTAATAGTAAATTTATTCTTCTAACTATCCCTCTGAAGTTTAAAACGATTCTCTGATATCATAAATATAATTGAACTATTTTTTATCTTTATAATTATCTTTATCTGTATGTATTAAACAAAACTTCGTTATTCAACCACATACCATCAGTTTCTACTTGAAGTAGGAACAACCTATTCAATTCTAAGTGTGATTTTGTTCTTTAAACTGGTGCAAGGTTTTCCATTAATTTGGGAACAAAATATGAGGTAAAAATAGGGACACCGACTTTGTTTTGTCACTATAGCAATCTCAATTTCGTGTTTTATAAAATAATCTCGCTCTTCATTTCGGTAGACCCACTTTGCAGAATCTTCTACTTACTGAATAAAAGTTATTTTCTTCTTGTCTTGTCCTGAAAATGAATGAAACATTTGCCACTGGCTGATAAACAAACAACAATCAATCATATTTACTATCACGATACCCTTGTCTATTGTATAAATAAATTTTGTTTGATAAAAGGATTTGTCTCCCGTTGATCAGTATATAGGTAAAGAAAAAAAAATATTTTGGATTTTCTGGATCTACATTTATCATGGATGCTCACTCAAAACTAAACATTGTGAGAGAGAGGGATGTATGAGAGCAATCGGGAACCTAAGATATCAGTACTTTATTTTTGTAAATGAATGAATGCTTTGTTTGGTTTGAATACGAATTGGGCCATACATGTAGTCAATACAAGTGATTACTTAATTTGTAATTGCGATCATTCTGTTTATAAAGGATGCCGGTATGACCACAGTGACTGGAGTGAGTGCGATATAGCAACAAATACAGTAACCCGAAATTTTACTTTGAGTGAAGGCGAACAGGGTTGTGAACAAACGCACACTATCACCATAACTTGTGATAAACTTAACAGAATACAGGCATGGAAAGCAAAGAAAGTGGACCGTAAACAGAAAAGAAAGAATGAAAAATTGCAAATGAAGCAAGAGAGAAAAGAAAAAAGAAAGCTTGTAAAAGAACAAAGACTTAGTATGTATTGTTTCTAAATTCAATTCACTATTGTTGTTTATTCGGTATTACCAATCTTAGATTGTCTGCTACCAACTTTTTAATCATACAAATAATTACGGTTAAAATGCACTTAGAAATGTCATATTCGAATTGTCAGGAGCGTACTAGATGAAAGTTATTTCAAGACACTTGATGTGCGCATGGAAATCACTTAATTTTTGGAAGGGGGTTGCAAGTTTTAATGAGGGTTTTGCTTGTTTTTTAGATTTGTTGTTGTTTTTTAACACAAATATACTGTTATGGTCAAACATTGATATTCAGACTTCTTTGTAAAATATGTTAATTCCTTTAATTTATTCTCATCACAATTTATTATAGAATGCAAATACGACAAGGAAAACTGGAGTGATTGTGATAATACAACAAACACAGTAAACCGAGTTCTGACATTAAAGGACGGAGAAGAAGAAGAATGCGAACCAACAATAATTGTCACCATTTCATGTACAAAGTTTGAGCGTATTCAACAGTGGAAAGCAAAAAAAATGGAGCGCAAAAATGAAAAGAAGGAGAATAAAATGTTAATTAGAGAACAGAAAAATATTTGGAAAGATAATAAAAAGATAGTCAAGGAACAGCGTAGACGTAAGCAAATACGTGAACAGAACCAAACAAGTAAACAACAACATAACAAAATTAAAATTTAAAAAAAAGAAGCTTTCAGTAACAATCAAGCTCTCATTGACAAAAGCATAAGTGGATTCCCCGATTACAAAATGTATATGCTAATGATTGAAAGGTTAATTTTAAAGAATATACAATGTACTTCAATGCGATTTAACGAACAAGATACGTCAACAGATCAACACACAGTCTTTAACAATGGACAGATGTCTATACAATATGTCAAGCTCTTAATCACATAGTAGTTTTAAAACTGATGTTTAAGTCATGTCTGGTTATTTGTTCAAGTAAATAGAATGATTTTCAATTTTATTAAATTAGTATGAATTTTACCTTTATAGCTTAAAGGGTATCCCTGTTTATTGATTTTCCACGTTGTTATCATTCATGAAAAGAATTACTTCATATACTGAATTCGAAAAAAGGTTTCAGAATGAATCTTAATCAGCAACCCTTTCTTTATTGATTTACGGTTCCGTTGCATACATGGATAAGTACCGATACATTCAAAGCCAGGCCTTGAAGAACCCCTTTGTATACTTTTGTATTGTATTTTATGAACATAGGAGTATATTGACGTATTTGTTTTCAGTCGGATGCAGCTTTGATGTTACCTTCAGCGAATGTGATCCTACAACGAACATGGTTACAAAATCATACATACCAACAATAGATGACGACGATTCATGTGAAAATAGGTCATTTGAATATTCATGTGATTTGCATGAAAGATTAATGGAAAAGAAGAAAAAACGTCAGGACAAAAGAGCTAATAGAAAAAATAATAGGAAGGAGTTTAGACAACAGAGGCTTCTGATCTAAACTAAACATTTTTGAAGTATGATCAAGAATAAATCCACGTTTCATCATGTATAATGTATTAAGACTGAGAAAAATAGTTAGTTCAATCCTGCGTCAAATTGTTTTCTAAACATATTAAAGTGACACAGAACAGTTTGATAGGTAGTTTGGTGGTTCAGTGATATCAATTGAGAAATTAGGCTGATATGGAAGTGATCGCAAATGTAAATATAATAGATGAATATATATATAATATATATATATATATATAAACATTCCAAAAATTTATTAGAATTGTGGTTCCTTTTCAGCTTTAATGGTAGACTTTTTTAAGACTTTAGAAACCAAAGACGACACTCGTTTCTGTTGCATTTTTATTAAATCACGACTTACTTTTTAATAAATATTGTACAAAACATAATTTCTGTGAATGTTAATTTTTCTATCGCAGTTGTCGGATTTATACGCAATAGTTTTGTTGCCGTAGTCTCGTAATAGAAGCTGATGATCTGAATCGAACTTCTAAATATACATACGTCATTTTCACTCTGAACTCGCACATAATTCGAAATAAGATACTTTAAATTTTAAAGATGATACAATGAAACAACCATTTCATGATAAAATTGAAAATAATATGTGTTCACAAGAACTAAATACAATAACTACTGCAAAATTATGAAATCAATAAATAAGAAAATAGAAAACTATATTGTTTATCATAACTTACCTATTCTTTTTCACAGTTTTTATTGTAAAGGATACCAAATACCAATAGATCTTTTCTACTTTTATATCAAAACCTGAAGGTACACAGATTTCGGTCCAATAGCAAAATTTGAACTCAAAGGTTTCAATATAAAGTTAACAGACCAAAACAAAATACTTCATGGACCACTAACATAAATTCGGATCATATATTAACTGGTATCACACGACATATTTTCGCAATCTTGATGTTCAATTTTTATTTACCTTGATTTGTTTCTTCTAAGCTGCTTTTTTAGATTTAAAAATCGGCAAACTACTATTGCTAAAATTATGTCTGGTTTTACTATAGTTGAGATCTCACTAAACATGTTCAACCCCGCCGCATTTTTGCGCCTGTCCCAAGTCAGGAGCCTCTGGCCTTTGTTAGTCTTGTATGTTTTTTTTAATTTTAATTCATTTGTATGTTTCGAAGTTTAGTGTGATGTCCATTTTCACTGAACTAGTACACATTTTTGTTTAGGGGCCAGCTGAAGCCCGCCTCAGGATGCGGAATTTTCTCTCTGTTTTGAAGACCCATTGGTGGCCTTGGGCTGTTTTCTGCTCTTTAGTCCGGTTATGTCTCTTTGACACATTCCTCATTGATTTCCCATTCTCAATTTTAGAATGGTTCTGATCTGTAAAGTTACCGATAGTGTTCAATTGTTAATAGTGACATTAAAACTGAGTGTGGATTCGCATGACGGGTGATACATGCATGCCAAGAGACACTTACCCTGTCTACGAAACCTGTCTCGTTCCTTTTTGAGTTCATGCGGTTCCCTCATTTTTTGTTTTTACCTTCCTGTGTATCTTCTTATTAGATTTATAAGATTTTAACATCGGTAAACAACTGTGGCCTCTAATCGATCTCTTAGCTGCCACATCATTTATGTTATGGAATGTCCTTGTTTCAAAAAGTATTTACCGAAAGTCTATTCCTAGAGGCCAGATTAATTTTATTAAACTAACAAAGACCTAGAAAAAAATGAAAACAATACTTTATAAATGTTATGCGCCCGAAGCGCTTTTCTAGATTTACCGTTACCAGGAACGCCCAAAAATCAGTACTTGAAAACCAAAGATGTGTAAGAACCGAAACAGTTGATGAGCTATATAAACAAAATAGGCCGATGACCAAAGTCGGAATTTTCAAATTTTAATCGTCAAAAATACCACATGGCTATATCATATATCATTTGATTCGAAAATGTGTGTACTTTAAAATAAATTTGGTCGTCAAAAGAAAATATGGTGCAGTTTTTTAGAAATCAAGTCACTTATCGTTTTCAAGGGAAAACAAAATTGAATATCTAATTCCAATCTAAATACCCTTATTGCAGTAGAATGATTGCAAACTTGAATCTATTTTCTTTCTTATTCAATTTTTAATCAAAAAAGTGGAAACCCATCATTAAATGAGTTTGCCGAGTAAACGTATGCGATTGTACAAAAAGGGGGATGGCTTTCATATTAAAAAGATGTATTTTTTTCAAAAAATAAGAACAACGGCCGTCAAAACTACACAAAAAGTATAGACATGTATAAATAAATATGTATTTGTTAATATAACTATCTATTATACCTCAATGAATGTGGAAAATTGAGTTTTGGGCATATAGGTTGAATTCGATACATGCAAAACTGACAACAAAAATTATTTCAAAACAGACTTATAATGGAGTTTAAACAATGTCATGACGTTTTGTATGAAATAAAATGTATTATCTCAGATGGTGCCATTAAAACAAAATACATATATGGTTTGGCGATATCTGGCCACAGCTTTTATTCATAATATAGATTCATATGATATATATATATATATATAGATAGATAGATGTATATGTATATGTAGATAGATATATGGTTGGTTACCCAAAGATAATATGGCAACCTTGCAAATAGATAGATAGATATATATGAAAATGTAAAGATGCACCGTGGGATACACTGGTGCTTTAAATTTAGAAAACACCGTGGGATACACAAGTGTAGTCTGTATTATCCAAAAACCTAAAATTTCATAGTTAACATTAAGATTCTATGCAGCGAATTCTGCCATTTACTGGAAATCTATTTATGATGCTCAAAGTTCAAATAAAAGTCACTTTTCTCAACAACAAACAAGTTAACATCATCAGTCACATCTGTATTACCACTGTCACCGACAAAAACCTGAAAAATAAATACAAAAGAGCAGTATCTCGTACAAAAAAAGGAGTGGGAGGGCGGGTTTTCAATTTTACCGCTAACGAAATTTAAACAGCTTGCTTGCTGCGATGAAATTCTGTAAAGGACTAAATTACGTCACAGAATATAACGTCACTCATGTTAGGTAAATCTAAAACATGAAACACAATCCGTCAGTGGCCCCAGTGATAAATGAATTTAAGTCTTTTTACTTAAATTCCATTATCTCAGATGGTGCCATTAAAACAAAATACATATATGGTTTGGCGATATCTGGCCACAGCTTTTATTCATAATATAGATTCATATGATATATATATATATATATAGATAGATAGATGTATATGTATATGTAGATAGATATATGGTTGGTTACCCGAAGATAATATGGCAACCTTGCAGATAGATAGATAGATATATATGAAAATGTAAAGATGCACCGTGGGATACACTGGTGCTTTAAATTTAGAAAACACCGTGGGATACACAAGTGTAGTCTGTATTATCCAAAAACCTAAAATTTCATAGTTAACATTAAGATTCTATGCAGCAAATTCTGCCACATTGACGGAGGAAAACAGAGACTCTGTCAACCGCCATAAAAAGGGCGGTTCGCTGCAAAGCTGTGAACCAGATAACTATAGATAGATAGATAGATATTTTATTTAAAGTACAACTTGGTACATATATATGTTAAATAATCAATATGGTGTTTTGTGAACAACTGTTCAAAAACATATTTACCTACACAGATAAAAATACTAAACAAAACTACACCAAACCATAAGATAGTTGATTGTATTTGTATATCATAAAATATAGTATATTATAGTATATCATCAAATAAATATTCAAGATGTTTAACAATTCATTTCATAAGCATGTTGGTTAAGGGTGACAAGTGAGAACCATCAAGTTGAAAAATTTCTGATCTGATCGAAAATCATGATATTGTAAGTAGCAACCCTGACAGCTAATTATAAAGGCAATAATATAGTTGTATATTCTAGATCTATAGCAACACAAGTCCATCCTTCGCAATAACCTGGTCAAATTTGAGACCAAACTACTTAAGAATTGATGAACCGCATAATCCATCTGATCATGTTCTTCATCTCATTGTGCAAAAATCCCACTCTAGAACTACCTGTGTCATTACCTGCTACATGTTTTATTAAGAAATATGGTGGATCCTCATAGTTTCATTGTTCTGAGTTAACTTTTAACATGCTTGACAATCATGCCATCACAAAGATTCATTTCAGTGCCTAGACCTAAGTCAACCCCATCTGGAGGATGTCGGTCTGTACAAAAACATACTTACTATTGAGGATTCTACTATCCAAACATTATAGCTATATAGGATCTCCTACAATTCTTGCACAGCAATTAGCTACATGGAAGTATATGTACATATGTAATACCAATACAATTTAAAGCATAATTAATCGAGAAAAATAATAATTCTTCTGTAACCCCTGTATTAAGTTGTCAGCATTGGATCTCCGACCCTTTAATAATCCTCAAAAACAAGAAAAGACAGCTTCAAACAAACTGCATTCATACCAAGTTTAACCAACACAAGATAAGGAAATATTTGCTAGACTTCAGCATGACTCTGGTTAAGGTAAATGTAAATCATTGTCCTTAGGCCTGGAGTGTTTAATACCTCCTTAAAAACTGTCAAACCTCAAATTTTTTTTTTTGACACATCTGTTAAATTTTCCTAAAAAATATCCAAATCTAGTAAATTAGTAATGTCACAATTTTATTGAGAGAGATACAAAATGTACAAGTAAGCAATACCCCAACAATTCATAGAGAGAGAAAGGAAATGTATTCATTAAAACAATTAGAGATCTGAACTCATGAAAAAAAAAATCTATATGTACTAGGTGCTATGGAACTTACAATTAAACGGTTACTAAAGGTCTGAAATAACAGTAATAAATTCCCGTGGGGTTATAGCAGGAAAAACATCTGCAGTTGGGACCAAGCATCTGAAGCGATCCACCTAAAAACCAGAAATGGCTTCAGCCATAAGAAAAATTTGTACCAGATCAGTGATAATGAATGTCATACTAAACTCCGAAATATATGAACTAAAATAAAAACTCATACAAGGCTAACAAAGGCCAGAGGCTCCAGACTTGGAACGGGCACTAAAATGCAGAGGGGTTAAATTAAACAAGCTTTTTAAAATCTCAACCCAATGAAGAAGAAACAAACACACAGCAATATTAATACGCACAGTAAAAATCACACAGAAGTCCGAGTCCAATAACAGAATAGGTAACAAAACAAACAAAACAAAAATTGAAAATGACAATATTACATAAACAACAAAGGACTACAAACAGTTACTTACATGCCAGCTCCAGACCTTATTTTAACTGTTCGAAAGATTATGTCTTCATTATATGAAATATCTAGCACCATCCCTCCATTGGGGGTTTAGTATCATACCATCATAAAATATATTAGAGGAACATAACCCGTATCATACCAGCAACTGGTTTAAGAATAAATGAGTTTATGTCCGATGCAAAGACTGTGCAAGTGAATCAATATTAAAGCCAAAAATGCCAATTTTTTTTAAAAATTTTTGCAGGCAACAGTAAACTTCTTCATAAGTTTGCTTTAATGTTTTGTTAGCTTTTGAGGTAAACCTGACATTTTGTGCTTTGTAAAGAATATTACCATAAAAGATTGGATGGGAAATACCTGAATGTGTAAGATGTCTATGTTGAAGTGAATTTCTTATAATGTAATAAACTGCCCATAAAACAAGACAAGAATAACTGGATCATACTGGACCTGTATACTAGAGTCTAAATCCATGTAAGAAGAAACAAACATTTAGTATAACAGCAGCAACCACTCTCTGTCTTGTCTTGGGTTTGAACTAGGTTGCCCAAATGAAAACTTATTTCCATTTGAGGTCTAGGTGACCTGAAACTTGGACTATCATAAGAAGGCCTAGATTATGCAAAGTAAACATGGTAAATGCTCCTGTTAGGACAACCGACAAGTTATAATAGGATGACCTGCATCACACAAAAAAAAAAAAAAAACAACAACAAAAAACAAACAAGCTGCTTAACAACATCTAGGTACCCACGTAATTAAAACATAACATTTCAAATTAGTCCCAGTGTTCATGTTAACTGAAGTTCAACCTGTACTAGAATTTTCATTAATAAATTTCAACCATAATTTGGAATCAACTGTAGCCTAGGAACCAGTAGGGCCAATGGTTTAATGTAAATGAAATTGCTCGTCATAATGCTTCCAGCCTAAATTAACAAAGCTTGGCACCTAAACGTACAGCGTACGATACTCATATGCTTGAGCAACTCCTAGAATCTTCCAGGATGAAGATTACAATAAATTCTAGTATATATATTAATTAAAGCTGTTGTCGACACCTAAATACTAAAGATTTTTAACTGGTTTGGAGCAGACTGCAAGACAAGCTGTAATTAATTACTTAATTTGTACTAGTTTTGCTAATATTACATGTACATAGATATAAATGTAGGAAGATGTGGTATGAGTGCCAATGAGACAACTCTCCATCCAAATAACAATTTATAAAAGTAAACCATTATAGGTCAAGGTACGGCCTTCAACGCGGAGCCTTGGCTCACACTGAACAACAAACTATATAGGGCCCCAAAATTAGTAGTGTAAAACCATTCAAACCATACATACATGTATATATCCTCCCTTACTGCGTCTGACACAATTTACACAAAACTCTCTAATAGTCTCATTTTAAAAGTTGTTTACAAGATAAAACCATTTTGGCCCCTATTTTCCCTTAAATATATAAAAAAATAAAAAATAAAAAATAATAAAAATTTCCCACACAGCTGAGACTGGTTGATAGGGTTTGGGCAAACAGAAATATTTGCAGTCTGTCCTAAAATAGTGATCAATAAGTATTCACTTCTATAAATTTGTCCTTTATCTTTGTGGTACTTTATTGCAATATCTGTATTCATGCAGTACATTCATATCTGATTGGAATATTCAGATTATTATCAAGATAAATAATATTATATTAGTAAATAGTGTTCTGCATTACAAATCATATGTTACAAATCATATGATAATATACAAAACAATATTTAAAAGTTTCACATGGAATATATTTATATATATATAATTATAATAATAATATATAATTGTAACCTTATAATTAAGAATTGTTTCTTATTTCTAACGAATGATGCGGCATCCCATATAAAAATAACACATTCAGGAATATTTTGTGGATTAGAGTTTAGAAACTGAGAAATAATCATTACACAAATCTACATCTAAACCATAAGATTGGAAAAAAGTTGCCTTATATCTTTATACATATGTTTGTTATTTGTTAGAATCACATGTACACGTAGGGGTTTAACTTAAAATTAACATACTGTTTTTGTAAATCTGACGATTACCTGGTAAATTATCAAATGAAACATACTGATGCAGAGCTCTGGGGGTTTGCATAAATGACGTCTGATGATGATCCGATGTACAAATGTATGTGACCTAAAGGAGTTGAGTTAGTGGCGTGATGAGTCGTGAATCCCGTCCAGTCTGGTGACCCATCTGTAAAAACTGTGCACGTCATTGTCTGATTGTTGTCTATGTCTCTGGTCCAATTGTTACAACCCTTGTGGTGTTCTGTAGCCAAGCAAGGTCGCACTTTTCGCTTTCTAACTGATCTTCCCAACATGTGCTACAACTCAACAAAAGGTAAATATTAGTTCCACCATGCTACATAGCATTGACATAACAAAATCAAATGACTGTACAAAGAAACAATAACAATAAAAATATTATGTATACTCATAGTCATAGTTGTGTCTTATGATAGTTACAATAATTTAAAAAAAAATAATTTAAAATTAGTA